CAGCTGCCATGTCCTCCATCTCTTTGTCAACATCCCCTGGTTGTGGGAGTGATGCTGCAGCTGCCATGGCAACCCAGGGATCTGAGCAGGCACTGCTGGCCTCAGACCGCTACGCCAGACTCATTCTGGCCCAGATGAACAAAATGCGGCTCCGCACTGACTTCTGCGATGTGGGGCTGAAGGTCGGCAGCCGGGTCTTCAGGGTCCACCGGCTGGTGCTCGCTGCCAGCAGCCCGTACTTCTCTGCCTTGTTCTCCGGGGGGATGAGCGAGGTGGATAAAGAGGAGGTGCAGATCCTTGGTGTGGAGACTGAAGTCTTTGAGGTTTTGCTGGACTTCATATACACAGGTTTGCATTGATCCTGATATTCCCATCATCATTTTTCAGAAAATCTGTATAGTTTTGTACCATTTTCTTAGTGGAGTTGTATACTCTTTCCTTTCAGGCGTGATCAGCGTGACTGTGGAGAATGTTCAGGAGCTGATGGTTGCAGCAGACATGCTGCAGCTGAACGAGGTGGTGTCTGTCTGTGGAGAGTTTCTCAAGGGCCACATGGACCCGTCCAACTGTGTGGGCATCTTTCAGTTCCTAGAGCAGATTGCTTGCATGGACATGCTGGAATTCACTGAGAACTACATTCATGTTCACTTTCTGGAGGTATGAACGCACAAGAGACACTGTATTAAGCTTCATGCGATTCTCCAATAAATTAAAGTGAGATGTAACTGAAATCTACAAACACCATCAGCATCTTATCAGAATTGGATTTTTATCATTTACATTGTTAGAAGCACTTCAGCTCACATTGTAATTTTCAAGCTTAATGCTCATAGTTTTCCTGGTTCAACTGCTGTCCTTTAGGTGTGTGTTACTGATGAGTTCAGAGGCCTGTCGAAGGATCAGTTGGTGAGGCTGCTGCGAAGCGAGGAGCTGAGGATTGAGGATGAGTACCAGGTGTTCACTGCAGCCATGGACTGGGTTCTCCAAGATGTGGCAAAGAGGAAAAAAAATGTAGTGGAGGTTCTGGAACCAGTCCGCTTCCCTCTGCTTTCCCCACAGAGACTGTTCAAATACATAGAGGGTAAGAAAAGTATGAAAGTTTATTTCGCACTTTTATATTTTACACTCTTCAGGATTTCTATTCGGTATTTAATAACATAAAGAAAATCTTCACACGGAACCCTAACAGTAAACCAGTTTTGATGTGTTGTCTCTCCACAAAGGTATTACTGACTTCAGCCTGAGGGTGGCACTGCAGACTCTGCTGAGGGAATACACTGAAGTCACAAAGTCTCCCAAAGAAAATAAGATGTACAGTCAGCTTCAACCAGCCAAGATGAGACCAAGAAGAAAAGCCAGAAAATACCTCTATGCCATAGGTTCCGTAATCAAACATTTTGTTTCATAATATAGACATGGGTTTTGGTGAATTTTGGTGAATAAAAACATCCACTGAGATTTGATGTAAAATTCAGAAATGCCATTTAATGTCTCACCTTGACTTTTTAGGAGGCTACACTCGGTTGCAGGGCGGCCGCTGGAGTGACAGCCGAGCGTTGAGCTGTGTGGAGCGCTTTGACACGTTCAACCAGTACTGGACCACCGTATCTTCCCTGCACCAGGCCCGCAGCGGTCTGGGGGTTGCAGTCCTGGAGGGTATGATCTACGTGGTGGGAGGTGAGAGAGCGGAGGTTGTGCTTTTGTGTAGCACAAAAATGAAATAACCTGCAGGGTTTCAGTCTGACTCTGGATTTTTTTCACCAGGGGAGAAAGACTCAATGATTTTTGACTGCACAGAGAGATATGATCCAGTGACCAAGCAGTGGGCTGCTGTAGCGTCTCTGAACTTTCCTCGCTGTGGAGTTGGCGTCTGCCCCTGCCACGGAGCTCTGTATGCACTCGGTAAATATCACAGTAATGCTAGTGCCATTTTTAATGAAAACACATGCAGCACATGCTGGTAGTTTAGTTTTAACAGGACACTCCATCAATTTCACACTTGAAGATCAGTTTACTGGTCATGAGTAGTACTGCTCAGCCTGTGTAAACAGTTGTATAATGTCTTCTGTGGCTCTGGAGGAGCCTTGTTGAGTCTGAGTTTAGACTCGGAGCTTGGGCTCAGAGACTACAAATCTATAACACAAACCTTATATTTCAAACTGAGGTCAGAAAGACGTGGGCTTATATGAGTCAGGGAAGGTCTAATGAAAGATGCTACTGAGTTTGGGAAATGTAGGATCCATTGTTTTTGAAGTTTGACCCTTACTAGAGCATAAAGGTCATGATAACTCAGCCGCTGCTATAATAATTATAATTTTTTTATGTGCCTCTTATGTCCCCCAACTTTTAGGGCAGCGCAGTAATAAATTGATGGAGTATCCCTTTAAGCACAGTCAAAGAACATAGAAGCAATGAGATTTTAATTACCAACTTACCAACACCACAAGGGTATTAATGGAAATTATGTTGAAAACTAAGACAGATACTTGATGTTGCCAAGATCTTATCAATATCACAACAAAACTGACAATTTCAAGTTTAATAAGTTCAACAAAATCACTTTGTGAAATGATTAAAAGATAACTCAGTTTTTGCAATTAAATTGTTAGTTCATAACGAGCATCTTGGAGAAGAAATGTCACCTGATTGTTATTCTGTCATGTGCTTCTTTAGGTGGTTGGATTGGCTCTGAGATCGGGAAGACAATGGAACGATATGATCCAGAGGAGAACAAGTGGGAGGTCATCGGCAGCATGGCAGTTCCTCGTTACTATTTTGGATGCTGTGAGCTACAAGGTGTGTGCTTTGCTTTTTTAAATGTATATAATCAGGTTCAACTGAAAGAACAGATTTTTTTTATGTATGAGAGATGTTATACTGCTCTGAACTAAATGCAGTTGTTTCTTCCCAGGGTTCATTTATGTGATTGGAGGGATCAGTGATGAAGGGATGGAGCTGCGTTCAGCCGAGGTGTATGACCCCATCTCCCACCGATGGAGCGCCCTTCCTGTCATGGTCACGCGTCGAGCCTATGTGGGCGTCGCCTGCCTCAATAACTGTATTTACGCAGTGGGTGGTTGGAATGAGGCGCTGGGTGCACTGGAGACAGTGGAGAAGTACTGTCCTGAAGAGGTAAAGTGTCACTAAAGACACATAATATCTTAATTTCTGAGAAAATCATTTTTCTTTGATTCTAACATTGCTTGTATCTATTTGTTGATCTTTCAGGAGAAATGGATGGAGGTGGCCCCGATGTCTACTGCACGTGCAGGCGTGTCGGTGTCAGCGGTTAACGGGCTGCTGTATGCTGTCGGGGGCAGGGCGGCCAGCAGAGACTTCTCTGCCCCGGTGACAGTGGACTCTGTGGAAATCTACGACCCTCATCTGGATACCTGGACTGAGGTCGGCAACATGATCACCAGCCGCTGTGACGGAGGGCTGGCTGTGCTCTGATATGCAGGAATATCAGCCTCTGAATCATCCCAAAACTGTGTAAACTAAAGAGAAGCTGCACCTTAAAAAACACAAAACTGTGTTTTTGTCTCATGTAGGCTTTCACATCATCATTTATTTTATTTATACATGGATTAGACGTGCTTTTCCTTTACTTGTCCATAACATTTGACATTCATTGAAAATATGAATATGACAACAGATCTGCAACTGGAAAACTGCCAAAATTGCTTCCATGAACACTGTTACATGGTGCATCTGTTTCCCTATTTTACAAGAATGTTGGACTGTCAGCGCACTTGTTTTCCCTTCCTGTGTATCGGAAGACAACGCGATCATGACTTTTCACAGCAGAGGATTCTATTTTTGATTGACCAGAAAGTTTTTTTTCATGAGCATTAAAGAGTCCTGTGGGGACTGAGACTGAGACTGTTCTAGTTTAAGATGTGAAAGCACTGTTCTTTAGTTTGTTTTCTTTTTATCTTTCCTCAAAGGAATGTTTGAGGTGTGTGCACTGCTACTTACAAAATGTATCAAATCACTTTGAGCCTATTTGATAATGGAACCAAATGAACCTTAGGGGTGTTTTTAGTTTCATGGTTAGTGATTTCTGTAAATAATAATGAACTTGAACAGCTCACCACTGTTGTTACTCCAGTGCAGCGATCACTCAATTTTCACTGGATTATTTTTGTATATATGATACTGTAAATATTTCTGCCTCTTTGTCACTATTTACGCTTAAATCCAAGCGAGTGAATACTGTTTATTTTCACTCACTGGTAGCACCTGAAATGACTAGAATTTACATTTCATTTACATTTCATCCTTCTAATGTTGAGACACATGGCAATGATTCACAATGCACATGTTTGGAGATGTGTTTACGCTAAGTACTGCTGGTTTCCTCTTTGGATTTTGTCATATTAGCGCATATCACATTGAGGTGTTGCACAATGACAGTATTGCCTATCATGTACTGTTATCCCTTTGGAAGAAACTTAATAGTAATGTTACAAAAGAGTAATTACATCTTTTATTGTTTGATTTCATATTTAATAAACTTCTTAAAAAGTTGGTTGTGTGTGTGTTGCTTGAAATGAAGCCACATTAAAGATCATTCAGAGTTAATAACTTGATAGAGGACTCATCCTCCTAGAGTCTTGTGCAAACATCAATACATAGGATCAGATCATTACTCTCAGAATTATCTCTAACTAATTTCCTCCTCCCTGATGTACTGAGTGATGCTGTGGAGATGTGTTACGTCTGCTATGACAAAGATTCATGATTACAATCCTTCAAGTTTGTACATTTGCTGGAGAGGTTTTCTGCGCTGTGCAAACAAGGTACTACACGGTACCAACACTTGGTCAGACATGTCACTGGATTTATGGCTCCTCATTACATGAAAAAGTGTACTCTCAAGTCATCAACTCTCTAGTGCCCTTATTTATAAGGATCCACACACCTCTGTTAGGCTGCAGTTTGCTACTGTAAAGCACCAAGGCTGTTTGGTATTGAAACTTCAAAAATATTGGACTTACTTCCAGCTCTGCCACTAAAACTCAGCACTCATGGATTTACAATCAACGTTAAGAATGAACGTTTGTCTCCAGTAAAACCCAATTTCACTTGTGACTGTTTGGATCATTGTGAATAACTGGATTTAGATGTTTCTTTTAGATAAGAAAAACATTCAGACATTCATTCTCATTTTGGCATCAAGATCCATTGTCATGTATGAATATGTAAAAACTTTACATGACTAACTGTATCATTTAGATCCTCACTGCTGCCTCAGACTGGAATCATTAAAAAGGGCAAGGAGAGATAAATGGGTTAGAATAAATAACAGAACAATATTATCAATATTTCTTTTACAAACTTAACACAGCATTTTACAAACTATGGGACATTTCTTTAGCTGTGGTTTGACTTGTATTAGTCTGGAGTTGGACAACAATGGAAAGGAAAAGTATGCAAACAGTCCCAATGTTAATCGACTGTCTCAAATTTGCTCATGTAAATTTCCCATATTTGAATTACCTTTTTCAAGTGAAGGCACCTCGCTGTTGCCCAAGTTCATCCAGTCTGGCTGAGCGGGACTGCCAGCAGGGATGACAAACCCCCAGCAGGCACCTGTGAGGAAGGAGACTATGGAGGCTTCATAGACAACCTGAGCATATGCCACTTCAGGGTAGAAGGACTGTGTGGCAGCCATCATGCTTTTTCTACCTGTGCTTCGTCTTGTATCGGTCTTGAGCTGGACAACAATGGAAATAGCAGCAATATTAATCGACAGTCAAATATTTAAATCATCTTTTTTTAGTAGGACACATTTTGTCTGTACTTTACACAGCAAACACTGTAATTCTACAAATGTTTTCTGATAAATGATACGTGTTTACTTCACCTCAAAGTCTCTTATTTGTTACATTTGGATATTTCAAATGTAGAGCCTCACAAGTTAGAAATTTCTGTCCCAATTTTGCAACTTACAAAAACGCTCTTATTTATTTTCTAAATGATGTGCCATGCTTACAGATATCACATGTCCCAAAGGTAACAAAATTATTGCTTTGAGTTGTTGTACAACAAGAACAAACCAGACTGTCTTCACATTTTAACTTAATTTTACATTTTATTCAGCCCATATGGATCAAAGAACAAACTGTCCTATTCAATCAGTTCTGAATCTCTTTGATCTTCTTCTCAATGCAGAATTTTTTAAATGTCAGTGTAGCCACCAGTGAGAAGGTGGCGACCAGAGTGAGGACAGTCCGCATGGCTTTGAACCAGGCAGGGTAGCCAGGCAGCAGGGTGAGGTCGTAATGCAGTGATAGACCCAATCCCATGATAACTACCAGGGCTCCCTCTGCAATATTGTCCCTGCAGAGCAATGCCAACCAGGCCACAAGTGAAGGCACCACACTGTTACCCAAGTTCATCCAGTCTGGCTGAGCAGGACTACCAGCAGGGATGGCAAACCCCCAGCGGGCACCTCCGAGGAAGGAGACTATAGAGGCTCCATAAACAACCTGAGCATACGCGACTTCAGGATAGAAGGACTGTGTGGCAGCCATCAGGAGAGGGGCCGCCAAGAAGGGGATGAGCCCAGAGAAACCGAGGTACAGAGCTGGTTTGGGAGCCTGAGTTAGGGCCTTTAAACTGAAGCCCTCCTTGGTGTTTTCTCTGACTGAGGTGCCTTGTGAATCCCTGTGGCAGAGACGGGAGGCATGCCAGCTCACAGGCCTGATGCTCAACAGCCTGTTGACGGAAGCTGCTCTGGATGAATGTAACACAGAGGAGGCCTGAGAGTGAAACAGCTGCTCAGCTTTTGTTGAGTAGTTTGCTGCTCCGGTTATCTGCTGAGGACATCTCCACACCGAAACCTGAGAACATAATGAGCATAGAAATGCATAAACATTAAGACTTCTTATTGTTATTGTTATATGATGCTAGCACATACAGTACCTCTGTACTCTAGTAAGAAAACTGTACTGATCCAAATCATATTTTCTTTTAGTCTTACCCCAGAAATGATACGTCTTCCAGCTGCAAATCTAATCATTTTCAATCTGAAAAAGACACGTTTTCAATTACTGATAAACCTCTCCCAATAGTACATGCACGCAGTAATTTTAAGCTATGATACAACTGCCTTAGGCTAACGATGGTGCTATTAACAGCTAGCATACAACCTTATAGTCACTTGCTCAACCTGATGCAATACAGAGCTATCCTACTGTAACAAACATAAACAACAGATTTTGCAGTTACCTAAAGGTTACCCTTCAATTGTTTGTCATCCAATAGCTCGCCAAGGCCACTGCAGGCACAATGATATATAGTTAATAGTTGGAAAGTTCACGTTAACTAGCTAAACTAGAGGTCGTCTGCTGACTGCCATTCTATCGGTGCTCGATTAAATGCCTGTTTGTGTCCTAATACTGGATTCTCAAACTGAATGGGAAGAGATGTGATATCGACTGGTTTGGCTGACGGCGGCGGGGGAGGTATTAAGTTATATTCAAGATGTCGAAACCCCGCTATACGTGCTACTAACACCGTGCTCCAGTAATATTTCTTGAAAAATATGACGTTATAATTTCAAGCATAAACATGTAGTTTTGTTTAAACAGAAAAGTATTTCACAGAAGCTGTGCTATGTAGCCTGTTAAAAACTAACAACAGCGTAGAACCTCACTAAGTTGCATAATCACGACAGGTCTTGAACGTCTCACTGCCGAGGCTGTTCGAACCCCTCAGTGCCAGCGCCAGTGGTAAGCGCTCTGAAAACCCAAACAAACATCAATAGCCGTATTATTAAGAGGTTTATAGTTGCCAAAAAGTTTGATCTCGTTAGTGTTTGCAGATTTAGTGTATATTTGAACCACTGTCCATCGGAGGCTTTCTTGCTCAGAAGAAGGTACACGGTATCGTCATGAAACACAGCAAGTTAGCTCGCTAGCACTTAGCAAGCTGATGAATGTGTGCTGCCGCTGTTGAGGTAGCCATTTTGAAACTGTGTTGTTCCAACGAAGCCAGGTCTGTTTACCTCAATTGTATCTTCGTGACAGCTGCTTAAATAGACAGTTTTAGCTACCATGGGCATACTAAATGCATTTTTACTTTGCTAAGCCCCCTAACTATTCTAATTCATTTCAACTACCTAGTAGGTTTCGCAGGCTACTTAACAGGCTAGGTAACGCCAGCTTTAGCTAACAGTTGCTACGCTAACGTTCATCTCAGATAATTAAGCAGAGTTAGCTAGCAGCAGAGTTAGGGCATATCTGATAACGTTATTAGTTAGTGGGTGATGTTAACTAGTTAGAGCTATTTGTTTCAAATTATTTCCATGCACTTTAATTCGTAAAATTGCTCAGCTAGTTAGCTTGACGAAACGTGCATGCAACGTTGCTGTATTGAATTGATCTGCTGCAGTGTTTGTGGACAGATGGGTTTCCCACGCTGTATAATAAACGTGAAACGGGGTACTTTGCAAACTTAGCAGTATTTGTTTTGCCGTTATTCATATGAGTATTGTTTTACAGTTAAATAAATGTCTGTGCTGTACATTGTAACCCGTGTCCGTGCTAAACTCATTGATGTTGAGCTGTTATGTAATACTTCAGTGGAAATACGCTAAGGAGTCCATGGTAGCTCTGAGTTTGAGCCTAAAGGCTTTATTTTTGTTTTGATGTTAGGCCTCATTGTAACGCGTGTTTGAGTAAGGTGAATGACTAAAGGCTGAAACATAAACCCCAGTTTCAACCAGCATTATACACACTCTCACACACACACACACACACACACACTACCAGGCCTGTTTAGATGCGCAGCAGTCTGAGGAGAGGCACCGAGGAAGAAAGTTATTTTTACACTCGTATAAATATTTCATTTACCAAAGCCGACAGAATTTTATAAAGGAGCCAGCTTTCAGCATGAAGTGGTGCTGAGATCACTGAGTCATGAGTTTTTTCTCTCAAAATGTACTTGAAGTGTCAAAAGCAGTTTCGTTTAAAGCAGTGGTTGGCTCTTGAATTGGAAGCTATTTTAGGGGTTTGGTAAAGGTATTCAGTGAAGGAGGAGTATCTTTCACAATGTCTGACATCCCTTGCAGCTATTTGCAGTAACGTGTAGATATATGAAGAGAAATGTTGCTGTATGCTTAATTACTGTGCTTTGGATTTTCAATATACACTCAGTTTCAGGTGTTAGGTACACTTAGGTTAAACTAGCACAGTCTAATACAGCAGATCTGTCTTAAACTAGTTTTAGTGGGGTGCTGGTTCAACTTAATGATTATTTAGGAAGCTGTAGTTTTGTGGTGCTGTTAAATTATATTGCCTTATACTGAGGAGTTTTCTTTTATTTTGAGCAGCATTTTGTCCAACCTGTTTATATCACTGATGATAAACTAACTGATCTTAGAAACATTGAACAATACAATTCAACAGCACCACAAACTACATAAATTTGAATCGTCACCTAATCTAAATTGTAACTTTCATAAAGGTTTATTGCAAGACTGTTGTATTAATCTGTATCGGTTAAGCTTGGTGTACTGGCAGTTATGTGTAGGTATGTGTGTGTGTTCTGAACCTGGAGCTTTCTTTTTTTTCCTAAATCAAGGCTAATACTGTCTATGTTTAATGCAGGTCCAGTCTGTTCCTGTGCAGATACTCATGAACCATCAGCAAGAAAACTGAAAACTGCTCTGAAACATCCTGTGTGAGGAGAAAAAAAAAATTCAAGAAGGAGAGGAGAGAACTACTTGACAAATTTTGGACGCATGCTATTTTTCAACCTTATTTTTTCCCAGAGAAAAAGTTGATTGAGCTCTCTTGACGACTTTTTTGACAAGTTTAATTGTTGTTTATGGACTCCTGTGCATCACATGACACAAAGGCCTTTTGGTTTGTGGCTTCTTTGTTTAGCTTTTGAGCTTGCATATCTATGAAATCAGAATTACACCCTATATCTGCTTCAATCAAAGAATTGCAGATAATTCAATGGGCATCTTACAAATGTGATATTAAAACATATAAAGATATTATAATGCATCATTCAGCAGCATCTCTATCTCACTAACCAAAACTGAAAATGACGGCAATGTAACATAGGGTTTTGCTTCCTTCATTGTCATGTGACTTTGAACCTTTGAGCTTTATTTTCTTCAAACGCAGACAGTCTTTTCACCAGTTTAATGAGGTGAGCAGTGGTTTTCAGTGACCTCCATTGCCAGTAAAAGACTGTCTCTGAACACATTTTTCTTTTCTGCATGCGTTTAAGTAGATCTTAAAATGATTCGGTAAAAGGTGAGTCCACACAAAAACATACTGGCACGCAGTGTGGCAGGACAACGCCTGTCTCTTCTCCCCATCTGGTGTCAAAGTGGAACTGCTACCCAAACTGCTGTCCATGTTTCAGGGCAGACAACTTTCACAGACTGCTTCCTTATATTAATAATAAGACAGCCTGTCTGTTTCTCACCACTGGGACAAATCGCCTGTCAATTTATTTGTTTTGCCAATCCGCATCAAGTCCAATTGGGTTTTTGAGGTTCAAATGAATTGGTGAAGAACTAAGTCTGCCTGGGGGGAAAAATACCTGGACTGGAAACAGTAACACTCAGAATTCATCAAAGACGTGACCGGCACAGGAGCTGCCTAGGAATCTGGTTCAAGAAGGAAAATTGGTCCCTTTGTAGACCTCTGCACTTCCGCTTTAAAATCTACTTCCTGCTTGGCCAGTTCTCTGGATTGCCATTCCAGATCATTCCTGCAACATTTTGACTCATCTCCCAGTGTTTCACCCTGGACGAAGGGATCTGCCTCTGGGGAAAGGGGCTGTGCTGTCCTGGCGGAGGTGGAGAGGGGGTTGTCGGTGTGCTGCTCCCCGTCTGTCACTGCACACACACTGTGATCAGTGCCAACAGGCCTGAGGAACCGAGCCCAGTCGGATCGAGAGAGGAGGCAGAGGACTTCAGAGCCACAGACTCTGGGGTAATGATGAAGTTTCACCTCACTGACTTGGCTAGGGCAAACATGCATGAATATAATCGAAAGCCAAGAAATTAATTGCTGTCCAATGCAAGTCATTTGTCAACACTATGTGGGTGGCAGGTGTTAATTTTCTGCCTATTATGCACAAAAATGGTTTTAAAGTCAAAATAGAGAGTTTAGCTAAATCCAGAATGATGAGTTATATACACACATTGCAAAATAACACTTGTATTATGCTGCATTAGATATTTTCCATCCAGGCTGTCAACCAGTTATCAGCTTCACAGGCACAGCTGCAGCAAGTCGAGCTTTGTTATTTTCTGCTAAGAATAGGACTCTTTTTGACTTGTCTTGTGGGAGACCTTTACGCAGTGAATTTCTAAACAACTGATGGTAGACACAGAACTTGAAAGAGATGACATGAAATCAAAGATGGATGGGCAAGAAAGGGAATTTGATTCAGTGTCAGAGATTCATGTTACTTGCACTTGAAATTTCCGCAGCTGAATATCACAAATGTTTTTCCTGTTGTTCATTCCTTTCGTCAGATCCTGGCCATGAGGTTTGATGCCTCGATCCACTGACCGGAAACACTGGACCTAAATGGCGCAGCATGACTTTGTCCCTGCCTGGCTTAACTTCTCCACACCCCAGCCTGCCAAGGTGTGTGTGTGTGGGTGTGGGTGTGTGTTTGGGTTGGGTGTGTGGGTGGGTGTGTGCTGTATGTGTTTGAGTGTGTGCTAGATGATCACGGGAGACAAGAGGAGATAGACAATAGCTGTCGGAGTCGCACCTTTTTAGTGATTCAACCAGCATTATACACACTCTGTGTGTGTGTGCGTGCGTGCGCGCGTGCGTGCGTGTGTGTGTGTGTGTGTGTGTGTCAGCGACAAGTCACCCTCAAGGACTGACAGTGCAGTCAGTACATGGTTCAGCAGAGGGTCACTTAGACATAATGTACCGTTATGAAAAAGACTGACAACAGAAGAACGGAAACAGTTTGAAATAACATCAAATAACAGCTCATTGTCCTGGTAGAGGATTTAATGGAAGTCTTCATGGATATTTTGCATTTAGGTGTTACTAAATTTGCATGTGTTTGTCTAAGAGGCCAAGAGGGAAAAGAAGTTGCTTTTTGACAGAGATTGATCCGAATTGAAGGCTGTTTGACAGAGAAACTGAGGATTGGCTGAATAGAAGAATCTAATTAAAGACTGATTTTTAAGTCACTGAGGTGGAGATAGATCTATGTAAAATTATACCATGATATATGAGGAAGGTTTTTGATTATCCTAAAATGACTGTGTAAATGCTGCCTCACCACAGGTTGTGTTGGTGATGTAGTTTTCTGAATTAACTGCTGTGGTTGAGTGAAATGGACATAGACTCATCCTGTTCTGTCATCTTATCTACATGATCAATTACTTATCTTTATATCT